ATATTTACCGTGGCTCACCTGGCAAAAAAATTTAAATTATAAATATCTTTTATTTAGTGCGACAATAAAAATTGATTTATTTTAATTGTTAATTAATCGAACTTCGCTTTTGTATGCAATTAACAAAAAAACATATGTAAATATAATAAATAAATATAATGATATTTTAAGTGATGCATTTCTTTTTACTGATTTTAACAAAAGACTGCGTAAAATTACATTATTAAAATATAAGATAATGGTATAAATAAAAAGCTTTATCATAATGAAAGAATTCATAAACTGATATTTTTTTACTTTCAATGCCTCGAATATCAATAGAAAAATGATCTCGTATCTATACTCTTCATCAAATGAGACTTTCAACTAGAGAGAAGAAGGTGTTAATATGGAAAAAATTTAATGAAACTGGAAATTTTGATGATCGACCCAAATCTGGTCGCCCAAAATCCTTGAAAGATATGAACGAAAACTCTTGCGTTACATTCATTCTCTGGAGAGTGTTCTACAGCCGTTGAAGTACAATCCAAGTTTAAGTTGATGAAGGAATTGTTATTTCAGCTGAAACTATATGTAGAATATTCAGAAAAATGGATTAGTTGCTAGAACTAAAAAGAAAAGGCCTTATTTAAAAAAAAAACCATAGAAAAAAATGATTAGAATGGGCTAAAAAATATAAAAATTGGACTGTTGAAGATTGGCGAAAAGTTATTTGGTCAGATGAAAGTAAATTTCTTATATTCAATTCTGATGGCCGGCAATGTTGTTGGAAAAAGACAACAGAATCTTTAAAAGACCAACATGTTATCCCAACAGTTAATTTGGTGGAGGTGGAGTAATGGTCTGGAGCTGCTTTACAACTAATGAAGTTGGTAATTTGGTTAATATTGAAGGAATCATGAATGCTGATCTTTATTGCCAAATATCAGATTGTGGTTTTTTAACAACACTTTCGCGATATAATTTGGATAAGAATCATATATCTTTTCAACAAGATAATGATCCAAAACATACTTCAAAAAAAGCTAAAAAATGGTTTCGCGAGAATTCCATTACCTTATTAGATTGGCCGGCCCAATCTCCTGACCTAAATCCAATTGAAGATTTATGGAAAACACTTGCGTAATAATCCAAACCCAGCTTATAATAGAAATACCTTGTGGGAAAACCTAAAATCACCATGAGATAGCATTAAAACCAGCTATTGTAACAAGTTAATTAATACTATGCCTGAAAGAGTTAAGGATGTAATTAAAGTCCGCGGTGGTTATACTAGATGGTAAAGATTAATAAAATTTGTTAATTTGTAATAATTAACATTTTTTTAGATAAATATTCGATACGCAGTATTGATATTTGAAATGGTAAAAAGAGAAAAATTTATAAAAGTTGTTGATTAAATAATAAATATGCTTTATATTGAATTGCTTTAGTTTTGATAATATAAATAAAAAAATTTTATTGTCGCACAATAACTAAAAATAAAAGTTATTTATAATTTAAATTTTTTTGAGAGCCACGCGATTCGGATAAATATAAGGGCCTGATGATCTGCAGATTAATGATTACGGTAATCTTTTAAGGTAAGACAAAAACCAATGTGTAGGATCGACCATTTATGACGTAAAAATAAGTTGTGTATGATATACCACCATTCAAATGTTAATTACTATAAATATAATAACGTTCGAAATGTGGTATATTATTTGTAATATATATTTTTTAATTAAAAATAATTAAAAAATTTATGAATAAAAAATCAATATATGTCGATTTGCAAAAAAAGTTACCAGACAAAAATCCGTTGATCTTACAATTTTTCCGGAAAAAAATTCCGTTACAAACTTTTTATCAGGGATTTTAAAAATCCGGATTTCGCCAGAGTTTATAATACTCTACAAAATAACTGTTTAACACGAGTTCTGCAAGTTTTGCAATAAAAGGTATTTTAACGCGTGAGAATTATTTTCTCTTGCTTATATTTGAATTTGAAAGTCACGATAAACAGTGTAGTCGTTTCACAAATCATACATAATACACTTTTTATTTTTTACGTCATACACTACACAAATGGTCGATCCTACACCACTGGTTTCCGTAGCACTCAATTTTTTAATGCAACACATAATACATGTTTTTATAGTTAGTGGATTTGATCGGCATGATTACTAAATTATAGAATTCTTTTTTTTGTTCTTTGGTAACTGGGCGTTTTGCTAGCAATAACCATCGGTTGTATATAAAAAAATTTTTTTTTTGTGATAATAATCATAATATAATATGTATGAAACAGATTTTTTATTCCTGGTAACTGGTATTTTTGCTAAATCTATTAAGTATTAGTTGGTAATAATCATTGGCCGTATAGAAAAATTTTTTTGTAACAATAACAATACCGCTACAATGTGATAAACTGATGAAAATTTTTGTAACATAAAAATAGATCGGATCTCCTTCCTGGTGAATTCAAGTTGAACCTAGGAATACCAATAATACTTCTGAGAAACTTAAATCGATCTTCAATGACACCAGATTGAACTTCAGAATAAGGTGACAAATGTGTTTTTATACCTCGGATTACATATGTGATAAACTGATGAAAATTTTTGTAACATAAAAATAGATCGGATCTCCCTCCTGGTGAATTCAAGTTGAACGTAGGAATACCAATCATACTTTTGCGAAACTTAAATCGATCTTCAATGGCACCAGATTGACCTTCAGAGTAAGGTGATTGATGCAGAAATTATTACTGGATCTCAAATTGACAAACCTGGTTTTAATACCTCGGATTACATTAATTCCAACCTACCATTTGATTTACAACGGTTGCAATTTCCAATTCGTGTTGCCTTTTCAATGACGTAAATAAATCACATTTTTTCAATAGGGTATTTACCTACCACAACCTGATTTTGTTCATGGACAACTGTATGTTGCTATATCAAGAGCTACTTCATGTCAGCGCATCAAGATATGCTTATAAATAAATATGCAATGATCGTCAAAACAATAATACCAAAAATATCGTGATAACATAAATTGTAAATATGATTATATTTGAAGTATCATTATACCATTTCAATATTATAAAATATTTACCGATTTTATCTTTTCACTTACATCATTATAATCTGAAATATAAATAACAATGTACCTGACTGAATATACTGTAAATTAAAATTTTAGTATGTAAACTCTAGAGCTATTAAAATAAATAAAGTGATAAAATTAATATAGGAAATTTTTTAAAAAAATGGCATGGCATGATGATGATTGGCTAAAATATTTTTATGAAATTCAATAGAAATTAACTAATATCCGAGAAAAAACTGGAATACCTTGAAATCTGAAATAATGAAATCAGCTGAACTGAAATACGGCCGATCCTTGATCAATTATTAGTCCTGTTCATTAAAAACGTGGAGTATTTATTCCGTTTCAATATTTTAATAAATCAAATTTTCATTCGGATCATTTGGTCCGTTGATCCGTTTGTATTTGTTTGATCAGAACTCCATGATTTTTTATTGGCTACTGGATTTTTTGACAATCGGATCTTTTGTTCCATCGCAGATATCCAATTGTAACTTGCCACTACAATAATTCTTTGGGATATTCATTTACTCTTTCTAACCTATCAGTGTGTATTACAGAATAAAGATACTTTGGGACAAGAACCATAAGTCTTGAAAATCGTGAACATCATGATTTTAATGTTGAAAGGTTTCGAAGAAAGAATTCGTACCGCGGTAACACCAGAACAAAAAAAATTGTAAAAAGTGAAGCTGTTGGTTAAAATTCGGACATTTAGCTAATGCCAAGTAATTTTCGCAAAATTAAATAAAAAAAAAAAAAAATCCGACCTCTAGAGAAACGGCCAAGCGTTCGAAGCATCCACTTTATTACGTCATGTGCTTAACTTTATTAAGAATTTCGGAGAAATCGAGATCATTTGGTGATCACCTATAATTAGCGATACTCAAAACGTTACTCAAGCGATGTTCGAATAAGGAAATATAGTATGATTACAAATATTTTAATCTAAAAAAATCACAATGATAATTTATTTATCGGTCCGAAATTCAACCGCGATTCGAATCAAAATCGATCAAAATGGCACGGAACAGTTAAACATTTTTCTTAATAAATCCCTTTTAGGTAAATGTCACAATGTAATTGAGAGATTATTCGTTCGAGTAATCATTTTCGTCGGAATTGTTATAAATGTTCAAATCTACTTGGCATGTACCCTTATAGTGAAATTCCGTGCTTATCCAAAGTTTTGTTCTTTTACATGAACTGATTAATCTATAACACAAAAACAAAATTCGAAATTGTAGCCCAAGCAAATAATTAGTCCGAAAAAGGTGAAACCTTTGAACAATTGGTCAAACATATTCGGATATATGTGACTTTTTTTGGAATTATCAAACCGAAATGTCCATATGATTATCACTGGAAAATATGCCCTTTGAGGGATATATCAAAGGAAAAAAAAAAAGATGAGCGAAAACATTTTGACAATAAATTCGTAATTAAAAGAAGACATTTCAGATTTACGAATCACAAAGCCATTGAATATTAGTAATATTGTGTATTTACTTTCGATAATAACTGAAATCATTCCGCTTTATATTGAAGGAAACTTTGGCAACGATTCAATATCTTTCACCGATAAATGAAGATCAAACTAATATAATGTAAATCCGTTAAAGTTATTGATATTATTGATAACGAAGCGAGTCTCATTCGCCAACCGAATATTCGTTTGTGATACGACGTTAGAAAAAGGAAAAACATTCCGGATATCTGTAAAATACTGGTTACGGAATTATATAAGCCAAATCGCAACGGAACGTTTCCGGGTGTTACGATTTTACATAAATTGAGACTAATTTTTTTTGAGATTTATCTGCAAAAAAAAAAAAAAAAATAATAATAATAAATTTTCTAATCACATAAACCGTTACAAAAAAAAAAAAAGGATCAATTTTTAAATGGATCAAAGTTCAGATGTAAACTCGGATCATTATTATATGGAATTCGTCGAGAGTAGTATGTCCCCTGCTAAAGACTCCTCTCCGTACGATGACATGGAAATCGAGGGTAGTTTAACTCCTAAAAAGCCCTTGATGTCACCTAATGATTCTGATAAACCGTTTAAAAGACATAAACCTGAATCCAATAAAGGAAGGCCAAAGCAGAGTTTTGTTTGGAATTATTTTATCACCGAAGATGATTCGAATTATTGTCAAGTAACCGTACCGGTTTCATTAAAGTATCCCGAAGGCAAATGTAACCATAAATTGAAAAGTGGTACGACTACGACAAATATGATCAATCATTTATCCAAAATACACGGAATTAAAAACTATACAGAGGAAGAAAGGGTAAGCGAACGTTCTTTTTTTTTTTTTTTTTTTTTTTTTAAAAAAAAAATATAATTAAATATTTTTTTTTTTTCATTGATTTTCATTTACTTAGCTTAAGGCTCAAGGTCAAAAGGTTATAAATATTCAATTTCCTACATTGAATGAAGATCAAAAATTTTACCTTAAAAAGAAATATTTAAAGTTCCTCATTGATTGCGGACATCAACTTGAATTATCGAAATGTGAATATTTCAAAGAGTTTGTTACAACTTTGAATCCATTATTTGAGGTTCCAACTGATGAATCTTTAAGTTACCTAGCTGTTAATTTATATGATATCGCTATAGATGCATTAAAAAAGATATTCCAAAAAACAGATAAAATCTGTTTAACTTGCAATTTCTGGAAAAGTAAGGGGCACGGTATCATTGTGATCACGGCAAATTGGATTTCAGATGATTATAAACATCAAGAAGCCTTTTTAACTTTGGAAGAGATCGATTTTCCATTCACCCCTATATCAATCAAAAAAAAAATAAGAGAGATCATACATGAATGGAATATCTCTAATAAAGTATCATTTATAACAACTGAGAATTCTGCTCGTATGATTGAAGCAATTAAGTTGTTGGGAGGAGAACTTAACGTTGAACGAATTTCATGCGTTTCTCACACGCTTCAACTTGTAATAGGAAAAGCCTTGAATGTCAATCAAAATATTCAAATCTTTATCTTGAGAGTGAAAAGATTGGTACACTTTTTTAGTACACCCAAACAATTGGAGAGTCTTATAGAGGCACAAGAAGCGTTACATTATACAATGGTCTACGAAATGGTTAGTGAAATTCCAACTAGATGGAATTCCTCTTATCATTCCTGGGAGAAATTATTAATTCTGAGAAGAGACTTAACCTATTTATGTAATGAAACTAATTCAGGTCGTGACGTAGAAGAAAGAGATGCGTTGAAAAGAATAATGTTATCTGTTGATGAATGGGATCTAATGGATCATTTGGTTAAGATTTTGGGGAAATTTGAAGAAATCACCAGATTATTAGATGGATCAAATTATATCACAATGTCATTGGTATATCCTATGATTTTAACTTTAAAAAGTCACATTAAAGAAATGTTGGCTAAATATCAAAATGGTCAAAGTAGCAGGGATCCTTATATGAATGCAGACTCATTTTTTGATGACGTCATAACGGATATTCAAAATGAAATTTTGAATGGGTTTCAAGAGATTTCAACTAATGTGGAGGCTGACGTTGTTTGCATTGAAGGAAAAGGTTCTAAACAAGTTTTAAATATCTCCGAACCGATCAAAGTGGATGGTTTGGTTATTTCGGTTTTAGAAACCTTAGATATTGCACTAAATAAGTATTGGTCGGTGTCCTCAGACGTTGGGCTCTTTGCCACCATATTGGACCCTCGAACAAAAAAGTTAAAAAAATTTACCGAGGCTGAAAGACAAAGGGCAATCGCTTTGCTCATTGATAGATATGAAATTTATAATGTAAATGATAACGATGAAAATAAATCGGAATCACAAAATGATGTGGATTTATTAAATAATAAATCCATAATGAATATGATAATGGAAGATGAGGAAAGTTCCGATGAGGAAGAAGAGAATGAAATTAATATTTATTTGAAAAATAAGGCTAATAGGGATATCTTGCCATTAATTTGGTGGGAAAATAATGAAAAGAAATTTACGTTTTTGAGCAAGATGGCTAAGGAATATTTAGCCATACCTGTTACATCAACAGATTCTACAGAAAGTTCATTCGGCATAATAAATAACACCAATAACTGCATGCCGCCAAAAAAGTTTTACTTTTTAAAAAAAAATTCCAACTTACTTAAGATTTATGATTAATTTTATTTGTATTTTTACTTTAAGATTTATGATTTATGAGCAAAATCTGAATTTAATTATTTTTTTTTAAGACTAGTTGATTCTTCTTGAAAATTAATTATGACTTAACATTTATGTATTGATCTATGAACAAATTTAATTTGTAAAATTATATTGTTTAAGATATTATTTACGGTATATGAATTTTATGATATTTATTATTTCTATATTATAATTAATAAATAAAACCAATTTGTTAAAATCCTTTACTTATTTAAGCACATCACCATAAAAAATATGTCAGATCTAATGCCTATAACAACTGGAGCGCGATGTCCGACATTATCCCGAAGGCCATTTTCCCGAATGGACGTTTTCCCGAAAACTTCGGGCAGGGTTATCATAATGTAGTTTAAACTTTTCGAGAAAACGTTTCATTCGGGTAAACGGCCCTCGGGATAACATACTGTAACCGTTGGAGCGATCATATGGGACCTTTGCAATAGAAAAGGGGAAACGGCTCGAAAAATAAAATTTGAGTTAATGCTAAATCAGAACATATTTTGACCTAAAAATCATATTTGGCATATAAATGTAAAATTGATTTTTTCCGGCTGTTTCCCCCCTTCTATTGCAAAGGTCCCATATTATCTCTGTGTTACGATAATTGACTAAAGAGAAATGTTGTTGAAATTAATTCCGGGCTCAATGTACCAGCCCAGATTTTTTAAAATTCCGGAAAGTTACAATTTAATTAAAATAGAGCCGCTGATTGTATTTTATCATGAAATATTCGAGTTATGAACATATCCGAATTGTGATTTTACAGCTAATTTCAAAAAGTTGCGGGTCGGATTGTTCGGAAATGTCGGAAATGTCGGTGCCAATCAAATGATTAGAAATTTCTCGACGCCAATCAAATTACAGTATTAGCGCCAAAAATCACCACGAATATTATTTTTTTCTATAACTTTATGATTTTTTACCATAAGTTTTTTCACATAGCGGATTTTTTTTTTTTTTTTTTTCTTTTTTTTTTTAGTTCTAAATAAAAACTAAAAAAAAGAAAATATTTATATAGTGAACAAATGAGACAAATCGGACATGCAATTAAACGGAAGTTTACAGCAAATTTCATAAGTTACGGGACACCGGTAAAATTTTTGCCGAGAAGTTGCCGGGTTCTCGGGTTCTCGGGTTCTCGGCAATAATAGACACGTGATATTAGCCAATCAATTTTTTGTATTTTTTTTTTTTATTATATCTCTCCGGACAATAAATCGGTGTTTTTTTTTTGTCCGGAGCGATATAATAAAAAAAAAATACAAAAAATTGATTGGCTAATATCACGTGTTTATTACTTTTTTTCACAACCCGACAACCCGACAACCCGGCAACTTCTCGTTACCGGTGTCCCGTAACTTATGAAATTTGCTGTAATGAACTATTCATTGTTAAAGTTAAATAACGTGAATAAAAAAAATTGAATACGTACTTATTTATATTTGATTGGTGCTAAATGATTTATAAATTTGATTATCGTCGAGAAATTTCTAATAATTTGATTGGAACCAACATTTCCGACATTTCCGAACAATCCGACAGTGCCGTTACAGCTAATTTCATAAGTCACGGGACAGCCGATAATAGCCGAAACTTTCCCGAGAACATTTATAAGGATTTGAAAAAGCCAACCACATTTTTATATGGGTAAAAAAATTATGTCGCTATATTCGGAACACTGATCTGAACGTAGCGATAATGTTTTTTCTTCAAAAAATTCTATACCGAGTTTTACCGAGTTTTTTTTCATCGATCTGCAAAATGATCGTCCGTCCCGTGACTTTTGAAATTAGCTGTAAACTAAAATTTACACGTCCCGCAACTTTGAAATTATGTAATAGCAAATATTTAACATTGTTGCCGATCATTTTTAATTTGTCGGTTACAAAACACCAAATAGCATAAATTAATTATAATGGGTGGGTATATTAATTTTCCGGTCCAGACTCAGGAAAATCGTCAGAAACGATTTTTTAATTATTAAACTCGGCTAAATTGTTTATTCATAACGACTTTAAATCGATTATCATTTAATTGAATCGGCCGTTATAACGCGTAAACTTGAAGATCGGCTTATTAAAAAATTGGTAAAAGGTATAGATTTGTTTTAACAGAAGGATAAAAAAAGTTAAGCACCCCAGCTTATATGTGTAAATGACAAGTTTAGCTACATTTGCTTATAAATCGTCACATTGTTACGCCTTGTGAACTGAAACGCAAGCAATTAAGGACTTTTTATGTTGGATCAAGATAGACACAATTTTCGTTCTATCTTCGGTAGCAACATAAATAAAGACCTCGTTATCAATGAAAACGAAAGTGACATAGTTTTAGTCGAGAACTTTTTTTGTCAAGCGTTAATTAATGAGTCAGAGAATTTTCATTACCAATAAAGTATCACTAATATAATGACTACTATATTAATCATAGGTAAGATCACCATACATAACGTTAGTATCTGCTGTATCATCCTTACCTAAGCTTACTAAGTTTATAGAAACAAATATTTAAAAAAAAAATTAATTCCTAATGTGGTTTTTATATTTTCGATTATTTCATAATGAATAACTCTAAAAAGCTTTATTCGAGTAGTCGTTGTGTCGTTACAGTACGTTTCGCCGAAACCCCCTTTGCCGAAGCCAATTCACCGAAAGGACATTTCCAATTCGCCGAATGTCCATTTCGCCGAATGGACCTTTCACCGAAAGGAAGTTTCGCCGAATGAAAATTTCAACGAGAGGACGCTTCGCCGAAATGACGTTTTGCCGAATCCGTTTTACCGAACGGACACTTCTCCGAATCCGTTTCACCGAAAGGACATTTCGCCGAAAACGAAAATAATTCGCTGTTGTTTGTTAGCAACTTGCCAGATTTATTGAACTTTTTTATTATTTCCAACGAAATTTTTAAGAAAAAACTTACTTTATAATGTAGAACCTAAAAAACGAATGTTACGCAGTAGTCATTTTCGGCGAATTGTCCTTTCGGTGAAACGGATTCGGCGATGTGTCCGTTCGGCAAAAAAGATTCGGCAAAACGTCATTTCGGCAAAACAGCATTTCGGCGAAGTGTCCTGGTATTTCGGCGAAAACGTCTTTCGATGAAAGTCCATTCGGCGAAGTAGTCGTTCGGCGAAGAGTCCTTTCGGCGAATTAACTTCGGCGAAGTGGGTTTCGGCGAAACGGATTCGGCGAAACGTCCGGATACCCTCCATGCATATTACCCTCTGGTCAATTTTCTTTACAAGAAATTCTATATGTAAACGATGGGTTTTTCTTTTATTTTCTTTTATCTTATTTTTTATTTATTCATTGCAGGTTTCTTTCCTTTTCTTATTACGATTTTTTTCTTAGTTTTAATGAATTGTGTTTTGTAGTTTAATTTAATAGACGAAATGTAGTTCGCAGACGTTGCTGCAACACTTGATTAATTGATTTTATTAAATAACATAATATTAAATCCTTTGCTTACCATGCATCAACATCGATTCTATATTTATAATCTTAAAATAAAATAAAAATGCTACAATATATACATTACCTATTCATCTTAATTTAAAAAAATTTCATATAGATTTTGTGAAATTTGGACTGCAACTTGCCGAAAATTAGCAAATAAAGATCCTAATAGTCTTGCGTAAGTATCCCGACCGCGCTCTTGTGGCTGGGTCTTTATTTTGTGTGGCACAACCAGACATAAAAACGACAAATGAACCTTCATGTCAAATTCTTTTAACCCATAACTTAATTTAAAGAAAAATTCTAGAATTAACTGAATGATTTGCAGAGTTTGGTAGGCTTAGGAAAATATTGGGAGATGTTTTTTTAAAGATTATTATAAAATATAATTTTTTAAAATTTATTATAATTTTTTATTTAAATAAAAAAAAAAAAAGCTATTTACAATGATAGGAAAAAATACCAAAATGTTATTAAAAATTTTTTGTTTCAACAATCTAATTGTATCTGAATGAAGATTATTCAGAACTATATCTGTAAAACACTGAAAACTCTGTCGCCTCTACAGGTCTATTTATATAAAATTCTGAATCCTAAATCTAAGATCGATGGTCTATTTTATAACCGTTTGATTAACCGGTTAAAGATTTTTGTTTAACCGGTTAAAATAGATGAATTTAAATCCGGCCGAAATTCATTTTCCGGCCAGAATTAAGATTTTTATGATTGC